TGGCTGGAAGAATGTTTCATTGATTCTATGTGAAAAGGCCTGCTAGATGATGAAATTATGAGGCCTCATATTTATTCTTTGCCTAAGGCCTCACAAAGTTTACAGCTGATGGAAGAAGTCAGTGCTAGTTGTACAGTGTTAAGGCAATCATAGAGCAATTAATAAGTTTACCTCAGGAAAGAAACATCATGGTTCACCATCCTGGGACCAACATTTGAATACTAGGAATCTATAGGGAAATTATAATCTTTAAATCATAGAGTACCAAAGGCATGCTATATCATATAATTAAATAAAAGGATGCATAATGTATAGTACACAAGAGGTTAATGGAACAGCACACCTCCAGGAAGGAAATTGAAAAGAAGTAACAATGTAATGTCCTAGTTAGAGGTAATTTAAATACTCCATAATACAATATATTCCCCAAAGCATCAGATGTATGTCTAATTAAGGGCAAAATAAGTTTAAAAATATATATTTAAGGTTCTCTACTTACAGTGTAGTATGAATAAAATATATACACAATGGAGCACCTTGTGAATTGGTAACTACAAATCTGAAGAAAGAAAAAAAATCTGTAACAGCTGCAGCACATCTGAAGTGGCTAATTACATCCACAAGATTTACCCCGAATCCCAGGTGTGGTTTGATGATAATAATGTATCATATTGTTAAAGATCTTGTTTATTTGCAAGCAAATCCTCATAAATCAATGTATAATATAGTTGTTTACAAGTTAAAGAATTTTCTTTAGTTGGGCCAGTCTGCTGATACATTTAGAGGAGTATTCATAAGAAATATACGCCAAAGTTATACCAGATATCATTGCAGAAATCAATGCCACATGTCTGCTCACACATTGTTTATTTCTCTGCAGAAAAGCAATTTATGTTCCGAATGGCACAGGTGCAACAAGAATACGTGTGCATGTTGAGAAAACAATCTATACCGGAGGGTCTTCTCAGTTAGGTCCACAATTTATGGACCCAGAGTGACAGATAAGCTACGTGCAGCAATGCACATGACACATAGCCCTTTAAATTACATAGTTGTCTAACTTGAAAAAAAGACTAGAGTCCATCAAGTTCAACCTTGAAGCCCATTCTTTTATGTTGTTGATCCACACAAAGGCAAAAAAAAAACAATTGTAGCCATTACCAAATATGCCATAAAAAGGAAATAAAAAACATTCTTCCCTCCATAATGGCAATCAGGTTTCTTCTTGGATCAACAACCTGTTAACATTTATATCAATAATAATAATAATATTCTGTTTATGCAAAAAAGGATCCAAGCCTTTTCTTTTTAATTATCTGTAGAATCTCATAGCACAGCCTCTTTAGGCAAAGAATTCAACATTGTTATTGTTCTTACTGTAAAGAACCCTTTCCCAAAACTGCACTGCATATTTTAGGTGGGGTCTTCCCATTGATTTGTAAGGAGGCAAAATTGTAATTGTAATTATATTTGTTTTCAAAATGTCACATTACATAGGCATCTAGTCCTCCTACGCAGACAAAGGATTTTAATAGAAAGTAATAATGTAAACCTCAACATTAAAGTATAAACAAAAAGACATAGTAATAACTGTGATGTTAATAATAATAATAATTATAATTACAATAACATTGAGATGGACAAGTATTCCTATACAAAACAAAACGTTTACAAACATTGGCAATTAGGTGGTCCTGCATGCTCACTCACAGACTCCACTGGGTGTCATTGCATCAGTTGACACCAGGGATCCGAGGAATTTGCAATATTTCTAAAGGAAAGTTTTAAATCAACAAATAAAAGTACGGAATAAAGGATCAAAGTTTGAGCCGCCTAAAGGACTATATAAGTTTGATTTTCTTGTTGTTGATTTAAATAGGTTTAATCAAAGATTAAAAAACTAATTTTCAAAATTTTTCTCTGGGAGAGACTTTGAGGAAAGGAGATTTAGATTTTGTACACACAGATTTGAAAAAAAAAATTCACCGAGATGTTTTTCATAAGGTTTCAGAAGAAATCACCTCCTGCTTTTATATTATTGTTCCTAGTATAGTTAGCCTCAGCATTTTGTTGTCTTTATTCCACATATTTCCATTTCTGGACATCCTTTTTTGGACTTTATTTTTTGCCTCCCTCCTATATGGTGGCCTAATGGTGTTCGACCCATAGACATGTGAGACCTTTAAATATTTTCTCTTTTACATTTCTATAGTGTGTTGTCCAGTTCTATGTAGGTTATTTTCTACTTACTCAATCACATTTTTATATTCCAGATGGTCTCATTAAATGTTTTAATCTCAATGTCCAGCTGTATTAAAGTTTCCTCTATTCTTTTTAAAATATATTTCATTGTCTCAATTGTGAAACTCTCCATCAATTAATTCCACTTTTTGATAAAGGTTATATTATCTCTATCAAATGTTGGAAATGTATTAAATCCTATAGGTGTTATTCTCTCTTAAATAGTTGTCATGAGTTTCTATTTCCCATTTTATCTTCATGTATTCCACTTATAATTTGTCTACTTTTTACTTATTGATTTTTCTAATCTCAATGGTTTTCTTTGTATATATTTCACCATCTTGTGCAAATATCACATCTATATTTCCAATAGTGTTGTGCATTTTTGATCAAATATAGACATAATGCTAAAATCTTACGGATACTATTCCCAAAAGACTCATCTTTCAGAGTACAAAATATAAAAAATAGATTAGTAAAAAGTGTATGGAAGGATAAAACCATACAATCTATTTTTTTTAAATCAATGCAAGGATTTTTTTAAAGTATCAAATATCCCAAGTTCCCCCCAAAATTTTTTTTAAGAAAAGTAGGAATTTAAAAAATATTTTAGCCCCACTACCTTTAGAATAGAAGATAAAAAGGATCCAGTTAATATGGGTTTTTACACATGCGTGTTGTGCAAGAGATGTCATTTTTCCCTTTAGAATAGAAGATAAAAAGGATCCAGTTAATATGGGTTTTTACACATGCGTGTTGTGCAAGGGATGTCATTTTTCCCCCCCAAAAAACTTGTTGTTTGAAAGTAAACAAACGGGAAAGAGTTTTAAAATTAAAGACCATATTACCTGTACCACTACCCATGTAGTTTATCTTTTAACTTGTGGGTGTGGTAGTCAGTATGTGGGAAGAACATGCAGACCCCTGAAAACAAGATTTTTGGAAAACTGTAATAACATTAGAAAAACTATTACCACGCATTCTGTCCTTTTTTATTTTAAATTTCGTATGTACAAAGGGATTGAGAGCGTTTCACTGGATCTAAGAGGAGGGGATTTAATGATGAAACTCAGTAGGGATGTGCATGGGGAAAAATATTCGGTTCGGCTCGGCATTCCGAAATCCGGGAATTCAGAACTTCGACACTTCAGGCTTCAGCATTTTGGTTCACTTCGGAACTTCGACACTTCGGAATTTCAGGACTTCGGGTAAGTGTAGGGTTAGGGGTAGGGTTAGGTTAGGGGTAGGGTTAGGGTTGGTTTAGGGGTAGGGTTAGGTTAGGGGTAGGGTTAGGGTTGGTTTAGGGGTTAGGTTAGGGGTAGGGTTAGGGTTGGTTTAGGAGTAGGGATAGGGGTAGGTTTAGCTATCAAAATTTATTTTTGCCACAATTTATCAGGAACCCAAGCAACATCAAATACCCTGAAACCCTTCAAAGAGAGATGGGGTGAAAGCACAGGAAACTTGCCTGCTCAGAGTGCACAAATCTTCCCGATATCCAACGGTCCTTTGAAAGGCCGCCAATGTAGGCCAGATCAAAAATTGCGCCTGAGAGCCCGCATACCATCATTGCTAGAGAGGGTGACCCAGAGCAGCGAAATGGAATCCCTCACTCCTCTCCCGGGCATTGTCTTCACTAGTAGCACTGCACCACTGGAAGAACATCACGATATGCGGAGTTCCAGAGATTGTGGGCCCAGAGGCCTTGATGGACTTTGTCCTTAAAGTTATCCAGGTGATGGAAGTAAGAGGGAACAGTGTGAGGATAAGAAAGGTGCTGACCTCCCCTGCAGACGCACTGAGAGACATAATAGCACTCACCCGAGACATCCATTATGGCTCACTCCAGGAGGCTCCCCAGCGCTACAGTAGACAACTGCCAAATTTCAGTCTACAATGACTTACCCTTCTCCATCCTCATGGACAGACGCAAGTTTATTCCCATGACCAGGGTCCTAAGGGAGTAAGACATTAGGGTATTGATGTGGATTGTCGAGAACCCAGGTGATGCAATGTGGAGACGTGGTCCATATTCTCTCTGCATTGAAAGATCCAATGGAGTTCCTGAAGGGCTTCCAGATGCCAGACGTCCCTTCTGTACCACAAGAGGAGGAAGTGGCTCAGAAGTACCGTACCCAGGGCGGAACGAGAGCACAGACCCCGAATAACAGAAGATGTGCATTCCCTGTGGCTGCAGAGTCCCCCATAGGTCTTTTTGTTTACAAATGTCATGCGGGGTGGCAGAGCCAGCTGCCACACTGTCTGGACGCATCCCGAGTGAGTTCCGGGCCGACCATTGAACTAACACCAAATACGTGCCCTACCAGAATGGCAATTGTTAGCCCGTAGTACAGAAACGCTTCCTTTAACAATGGGGTGGAAAAACAAAATATATAAAGTGGATAAAGTCCCGACTACTGCCGATATTGGTGAAATGCAGCAAAGGCCGCAGGGAGCCTTAAAGCCTGTCATGGTGCCTTTATTTAATGGGCTGTCTTACTCATCCAGCGAAACATCACTTCCAGACATGGAGGAGCTGGTCATGATCACTAGCAGACATACCTGCAAAGCAAACAGAGGGCTCACCGGTGACGGAAGGAGCTCTGAAGACCCTCCAAGACGACATCCGCCGCAATATTGCAGCTGACATTAACTCCTTCAAGGAGGAGATAATCTGTGTGTCGAGGCGCTTACACGACACAGAAGTAACCGCTGCCACCCACGAGGCCTGACTTACTAGTATTGAACAGGAGATTGGTGCGATGCGGCGTGAAAAGGCCCAGATTCAGAGCCACATGGTGGCAATGGAAGACCGGCAGAGGTGGAAGAACATAAAGATAAGGGGCATACTGAAACAGATCAGCACAGCCGAAATACCACACTTAATTAGGAGACTACTCACTCACCTCTTCTCTTCTACACATGCCAAACTGATGGCCCTGGATGGCTGCTTCAGGCTCTCAGCATCCCTGTTACACTCCCCCGAGGTGAATGGGGACATCATTGTCCGCTTTTAAAACGTGCTGGATAGGCAGGCGTTTCTAACGGCACTGCGGAATTAGTCACCGTATCACTTCAAAGGGCACACTCTAATGTTCTTTCCAGACCTATTCAGAGCAACGCTCGCCTGGCGCAGGTCCATAAGACCACTGACAGCGGAGCTGAAAAAAAAAAGTGCCTTACAAATGGGGCACCCCAAAATGCCTGCTAATACCTCGAGCTTCTTGGAATCTGACAGTCCAAGAGGCCTCAGACATTACAAACACGCTACAGCACCTGGGGCTGAACACTGCACATGAAGGTACTCTACCTGTAACCCAAGCGCCGCAAAAGTCCACCTGGGATCCAGCTGAGGTTCGCCCGTTCATGCCTGCCACCCAACGGGGCAAATGCTGCACCGGCAGCTATCTCCTGAAGGACTCAGCACTTTTAATCATAAGCGCTATAGTTTAGTTTTGTTTTTGAACGTTTGTCTCACAGTTCATATAACGCTTTTAAACTATCTGTTACACCTCCTAACACTATGTACACTATTCGTTGTCCCATACTTTATCTTACCTGCTGTCTCGAGGATTAAACCTCATAACACCAACCCACCCACTGGCCATAATGCAGTACCAACTTCTAATTCCATGGGGGCCAGCCTCTTGGAAAATTGTAGACCAACATTGGTCGTATCCCTACCATATCAAGAGCCATATGGCATATACTGCCTCATAACATTAATATTTGTCCTGACTCACTCTTCCAACGAGGGCAATAGGCTCAGCTGCTAACAAAATAGGCACAATAACAACCTTTCCCTATTTTAAACACTTATGTGTAATACTTGCCTGCGTATCTGTTTCCACCAAAAAAATGTGCTGTTCTTTTAATGCCATGCCTTTGCTTTGCTATGTTGAACTCGCTGTGCCTGCTCCTGCTGTTGTAGCAGTGCAAGTGTTTTTGTTTGTAACAACAAAAATAAAGAATAAAAAAAAAAGTCAGCCAGTCGGTAGGGCCTCATACTAACCCTATTCGCAATCATTACATGCCATTAAAAAATAAGTTGAAAAGATAGCACAACCGTTATACTGTCAAACTCCCAAACAAAACTGAGTGCCTTTTTATATGCCCAATTAGCATAGTGTGTATATTTTCTCTTAATTTCCTTTAATTGATTCAATTCTGTTGTGAAACATCGCAAAATACTGTGGCTGTGTCCACAACTAAATAAAGAATTAAAAAAAAAATTAAAGTGCCTTTTTAATACAGTTTTATTTAGATTTTTCTCTTGGTTTCTGACTACAACAACAGCAAAACATTCATATTAATGCAAAACACTTCATGCATATGACAAACTGGCTTAACATATGAAAAACCCACTTTTACAGAGCAACAAAAATATTTTAGGGACAGCACCCATTGTTGAGTCAAATTTCACCATTTTAATTAAGGAAGTGGTATTGGGCTGCTGTGCTAACAATTGGGATTTCACTTCAGAACCCAGTTTCTCACCTACCCAAGTGTTTCTTTCTTTGCAATATATAAGACTGGAACACGTGGTAACAGCAATGCTGTTACTTACACAATGACAGCCTCGAGAGTAACTACATATGTCTTTTCTTATTTTTTTTCCCTTTTATGATACAGCTCTGTGACAAAAGGGACACAAAGCAATGGGAACACTAATTAACAAAATAACACTCCCACATACATAGTAAAATCCCTCCACTCTATCCTGGAGATAATTGGCTTAAGGAACTGCAGTAAACTCAATTATCTCCAGGTACAGAAAATATCTCCATTTTACACTAACAGTAAAATACATCATTCCTATTATATCACATAGAACCCCCACATTTCGGATCTGAGCACCCAATATAGGTAAACAGCACTCAGATCCCACGAACAGAGTAAATTCGCCATGGGGTTAAAGTTTTGCAAGGGCTGAACAGAGATTAAGGAGGGACAAAGCAGCCAGTTTAAACTGGTCTGGCAATGTCCCTGGGACAACGCCCTGCTGGAGAACAATGGGATAGGTATTAAAGGGGGAGGGGAACAGGCATATTCTCCCATGGAATCAAAGGGGCAGAAACAGTCTTTTAAAAGTCCCAATATGCCCACATATAGTTTTTAAAGGGCCATATTCCTCAGGGCCATAGTCACGAGGCAGGAGGCTGGCAATCAGGCTCATCGAAAAGCCAGGGGCAAAGGGCAGTTGGTCACATTAAAACCCAGTGACAAAAGGTAGTTTGTTACAAGCCCTTTTTGCCCCCCCTTTTTTTTTGCTCAGTAGCAGTCTCATGCTTATAGCCACATAAATAATGGTGCTAGTGTTCAGCCTTGGATCAGATTATAAATCCAGATCAGTCTGTGAGAATGTAATGCAATAAAGTGTATGTGATGATTTAATGTTCTATTGCACAGGTTTTAAAACTCGTCCCCATCAGCTATACAAACAGTCATACAAATAAACATCAAGCCAGTATGGAAGTGACCTTGTCTATGCTGTTTGTTATAAGTGAGGACACAAGGACTATTAACCTACTGTGCACATTTACTGTGTCTGTAGTGATGGTAGATTTATGCCTGTTTTGAGTGTATGTGGAGACCTGCAGTGTGTCAGACCTCATGAGGTACTCTCCTCAGATATTTCTTCATGCATTTATTTATGTTTCTCTTTTTTGTTTTATATTAAATTCTGGTCCCATGTATTATTCAATATAGCATTTTAATCTCTCTAAATCCCGAATGGCTGAGCACACACATTCATTCATTCTAAAGCATCTTAAATGGTCATGTGACAATTTCACAGTAAACTAAGGGAAAATGGGGGAGGTCCATTCTTGCTATCCAATTAAATACTTGAATTGGAATACATATTTATTAATTTATTTAATCTGACAGATTTACAATATACATGACAATTCCTACCTATACTTACCACAACTTTCTTTTCCTGGCCATTTCCACGGCAGCATCATTGATAGGTTACTTCCTCCACTAAGCAAACTAGACTTGAAGTAATTATCAGTTAAACAGTTTTTTTCTCTTTATTTTTATTATATGAAAGTTTTAACATTTGCGTGTGAGGTACCCCAAAGGCAATCCTCAAGCACATTAAAACAACCAGACACATAGATATATGTTAAAACACAACAAAAATTAAACAGACAAACAAAAAAAAAACATAAATATAACTGCTTAAGGCATAGATATGCTGGCAATATATTGTAATATAGGCACTGTGTAAAATTAAACACCGAAAGTTTCCACATAAAATACAGTGTTTCCATTGAAAACCATCATACACACGATGTATATTTCAGTCACGCTACATTTGTCCACTGCCAACCGCTATCAGAAGGAATTCACACCAAAAATTTCCATGGTATAGCTGTCACATTGATAAACATACAAAAAAAAATAAAAACTATTTATAATACGAATAAATTACATTCTCTGAGACTCGATATGGGGGGAACCACAATCTGTTATCATATATACTGTCTATTTGTCCAGGGTAACCATAGTTTGGCCACATCTCTAGTGCCAAAAAAGGGGTTTGATTCCATCCTGTACTGATAATCTATTTGATCCATAATATTGTGCCATATTAATGGGATAGAAGATTTCCAAGCCCTAGCTATACATATTTTAATTGCAAAAAATATATGGGTCAAAAGATATTTTTGATATTTATCTTGCGAAGGGAAACCAATGTTAAAGAGAAAAAGTTGAGGGCTAATTTCTTTTATCTCCTTAAAAATAGAATTAATAAGGCCAAGCATTTGAATTTTTATATTATTAAGACCCTGACACTCTCACCATATATGATAATTAGTGCCCTCCTCATTTCCACATCTCCAACAATTCCTAGAATGTACAGATTATATTTTATATAGTCTAGCCGGTACCATATACCACCTATATATTATCTTTAAATGTGTTTCATAGAGAGAGATGCTATGTATACAGCACTTAACTAGGAGTGTAGCGACTCATCTTTTACAGTGGCTAGACAAGGAACAGGGATATAAATCATGGCTTACTCTAGAACAGGAGGATAGCCCTAGATATAAATTGTTCATTCTTTTTTGGATGGGTATGTTGAATTTGGGTGAACTGGATACCAAGTATTTTTCGAACCATATATTGATAGATATGATCAATACCTCCAAAATCCTAAATAAAAAATTGAAGCTAGAAGATAAATTATTATATAGGGTTCCATTAGTGGTCCTACAACATACAATGGACAATATAAATGTTCAATCTTGGACACTCCTAGGCATAGTGAAGATCTCGGATTTATGGGATGGATTTAAACCCATCCCATTTATACAATTGCAAGAAAAGTATAATCTTTCCCCTAGAGATCTTTTTCAATATCTAAGGATTAAGAATTTTCTACTATCTCGGACTATACTTAAGGACCACAATGTTAACCCCCTTATTGTATTATATAAAAAGAAGGGAGGGATTTCTAGATTTATTAAATTGCTAGAATCAATGGAACAAGACTCTCCTGCTACCTCTTTTGTTAAATAGGAACAAGATATTGGGGAATCCTTTCCACTTCTGGAATGGACCAAAGCTACACTACTAGTTAAGCACAGTTAAACAGTTTTAATAAATACACCCAACCCTCTTCCCAGAAACTTCAGTCTTATTATAAAGTCTCCACAGAAGGGTGGGAAGTTGATGCTGCAATGAAAATGGACAACACCAGAGCATCATAAATGGGGAATACCCAAGCAAGAAGGGAGGGAGACTGATATACTGAGAAATCATTTTAATGTATAAATTAATCAGGATTAGCCAGAAGATAAGATGCTAATACCAAAAAGAACATCCTGACATTTCTGAACACAAATAGAGTCAGATGCCCATGTTGCTGCCCTGCAGATATCCTCAGTAGGAACATTCACTCAGGCTGCCCGCGATGTCGGCACAGCCCTTGTAGAAAAAGGCCTTCTGAAAGCCAAAACTTCAAACCTGTGAAAGTCATCTGCATATCATTGTAATGGAAGCT